TGTGACGTGGTTTCCTGTCTGACGTGGTTTCCCGTGTGACGTGGTTCCTGTGACGTGGTTTCTGTTGACGTGTTTCCTGTCTGACGTGGTTTTCCCGTGTGACGTGGTTTCCTGTGTGACGTGGTTTCTGTGTGACGTGGTTTCGTCTGACGTGGTTTCCCGTGTGACGTGGTTTCCTGTGTGACGTGGTTTCCGTGTGACGTGGTTTCCTGTGCGTGGTTTCTGTGTGACGTGGTTTCCCGTGACGTGGTTTCCGTCTAACCTGGTTTCCTGTGTGTGACGTGGTTTCCTGGTGTGTGACGTGGTTTCCCGTGACGTGGTTTCCTGTGTGTGACGTGGTTTCCCGTGACGTGGGTTTCCTGTGTGTGACGTGGTTTCCTGTGTGTGAACGTGGTTTCCGTGACGTGGTTTCCTGTGTGTGACGTGGTTTCCTGTGTGTGACGTGGTTTCCTGTGACGTGGTTTCCTGTGACGTGGTTTCCTGTCTGACGTGGTTTCTGTGACGTGGTTTCCTGTGACGTGGTTTCCTGTCTGACGTGGTTTCCTGTGACGTGTTTCCTGTGTGTGACGTGGTTTCCTGTGACGTGGTTTCCTGTCTGACGTGGTTTCTGTGACGTGGTTTCCTGTGACGTGGTTCCCGTGTGACGTGGTTTCCTGTGACGTGGTTTCCTGTGAACGTGGTTTCCTGTCTGACGTGGTTCCCGTGTGACGTGGTTTCCTGTGACGTGGTTTCCTGTCTGACGTGGTTTCCTGTGACGTGGTTTCCTGTGTGTGACGTGGTTTCCTGTGACGTGGTTCCCGTGTGACTTGGTTTCTGTGACGTGGTTTCTGTGACGTGGTTTCCTGTCGCTGACGTGGTTCCCAGTGTGACGTGGTTTCCTGTGACGTGGTTTCCCGTCTAACCTGGTTTCCTGTGTGTGACGTGGTTTCCTGTGACGTGGTTTCCTGTGTGACGTGGTTTCCTGTGATGTGGTTTCCCGTGTGACGTGGTTTCCTGTGCGTGGTTTCTGCGTGACGTGGTTTCCTGTCTGACGTGGTTTCCCGTGTGACGTGGTTTCCTGTGATGTGGTTTCCGTGTGACGTGGTTTCCCGTGACGTGGTTTCCTGTGACGTGGTTTCCCGTCTAACCTGGTTTCCTGTGTGTGACGTGGTTTCCCGTGACGTGGTTTCCTGTCTGACGTGGTTTCCTGTGTGACGTGGTTTCCCGTGTGACGTGGTTTCCTGTGCGTGGTTTCTGTGTGACGTGGTTTCCTGTCTGACGTGGTTTCCCGTGTGACGTGCATTCCTGTGATGTGGTATCCCGTGTGACGTGGGTTCCCGTGACGTGATTACCTGAGACGTGTT